TGCAAACATTTTAGTCTTGCTTGGAATGCTCATTCATCTGGAAGACTTTAACAATCGAATATCGAGATTCGAGAATCGTTTTCTCGGGTTTATTTGAATGTCACGTATTTTCAAGTACGTACGTGCTGGATTAAACCTACGTTTGAGCTATTTTACCAATCAACAACCATCCAGATTCTGATTATATACTATTTCTTATTGCTACCATTTAACGGTTGTGCAACCAATTTTATTCATAATCTGTTTTACGTCATGGTTTCAAATATACTAAAAATTGTTATCCATCTATCTATCTATCTATAAATTAATAGGCAAGCATGTTTCTTTAAAACCTGTTTTCTCAGCTCGTGTGCATCGCAGGGAAAATCTACGCATATTGTTAGAAAGATGTTTACCTGTAGATGTGCAGAATCCCTTTATTAACAGCGTTGGTGAAAATGGAAAATAGAGAAAATACATTACATATTTTCGGTCGAGTTTTCGACCTCTGGACGACCACTAGTACATAGTAAATTATTGATTGTTTATACAGTGGAACCTCGATAACAGGCGCCCTTAGTAATATAATTTTCAAACACCCGTGATTTTGTATTAGGTACCCTTAACTACCTTGAATCTCGATAGCAAGTCTTATTTGATAATAGAGACTTGTTATCAAGGTTCAACTGTATCATGCATTATGGTGACGTTCAAATAATGTTATCCATCCCGATATATTTTATTATTTGCTTACGTTTTAAGGACTGTTCACACCGGCGTAGCCAGACGTATTAATACTTTTTCGAAATACGTAGCTGACGTAGCTCTTAATGTAATTCATAGAGAGTGTTCACACCTCTACTTGTTGTATTTCATACCCTTTACTTTTTATTCATCATATTTATAGAACAGATTATAAAGTAAACGAATAAAAAAATAGTTTAAAAATTTAACTTTTAAAGAGCTGTAAAATATACAGTCACAGAAAGGCAAAATGTTTTATTTTCTAAATTTAATTTAGATTTTGCAAAGTAAGTTAGTACCTAACAACACACAGACATCACTTCAAAAACAACTTTTTTGTGTCCAAGGGGACCCAAAACGGATATATCCACTCAAAACTCAAACTCAAAAGTTTTGACGAAAACAATACTTTCTCCATAATCTATGGTATAGGGGGAGAAAGTAATAAAGAGTTTATATTACTCCTTTACTCATTACTATATATTTTTATACAAAATATATTTTAATCTAGGAGACAAATATGAATACAAATGGTTATAAAACTACATTAACCACTGGCAAAACTTTCAATTACCAAATGCCAGTTCTTCGTCAAAATCTAAGTCATTGGGCTTTGGAAAGGGAGTTAAAAAGCGGAAGTGAAGAAGAGGAAGGGGGGGGGGGGTGTGAAATGTGAGACCACTGTAGTTTTCCACGGCTTGGGCAGGATTAATCCTAGCTTAACACCTCGGAGCTACTAACCTACCCAAGTGAAAATATCCGCCATAATTTATAAAAAATATTACATCTTATGACTGTCTCATAACTCGGAGTTTAACTGATTAGAGCTGTCCTTTGTATACTCTACTACAAAGTATAAAACCTTAATAAACTTTTAAATGAAATATTACATTGTTTAAAAATTATAAAACGGTTCTTGTTGAGCGGGGCAGGCGAAGTGACCAAAGCTCCTTTAAATAAGGATAAAAATAATTTAAAAATTTTCCACTAAAATACTCAGGACAAGACCTTTAAAATGAGGTATAACTCGACCCCCCTTTACATTTGACATTTTCCCAAAAACGACCCCCACCCCCAAAAATCTGCCCTTTTGGGTGCTTTTTTGGTTAAGAAAATAGTTTTGCTGAATTCCTTGGGGACGAAATAGGGGGTTCCAGTTGCAGATAGGTTTCTATTTGCTTTCATATTAGAGCTATAGAAGCCGGCTGGGTGGTCTGGGACACTCTGTATACAAACTGGGACATGCAACAAATAGTAGGCCTAAAGACAAAATTTTATATTATTACTGTATTAACATTTTGTTGTTACTTAAACTTTTGACGACCTTTTCAAAGTGCCAGTTTTATTAATGTTCTTGTGCAAGATCTGAAGATGAGGATTTAGTCGAAGCGCGTCATCCATCATAAGGATCATACATAATCACTCTGGCAGTATTATTCAGGTAATTTTATCCATTTTAGCGAATTTCCCATAAAGGGAATAAGCTATTACCGTAGTACTCACGGTAAGACCTGGACCCGGGACCGGTTTTTTTTTCGTTTTGAGGTCCCTAGAGGCCAAAAACACCATCCATTCAAATTCATATATATATAGATGTGTCCGTTAGCGACTCGAGAAAAATGATCCGATTTTGATGAAATTTGGTACAAACGTGTAAACCTACGTTTATTTGAACGAGTTCGCGAACCAGCATGATCGGACCATGGGAACGGGGGTTTATGGGGGCTTTTATGGGGTAAAAATGGGTTTTTCCCATTTTTGACCCAAAAAACATAAAATTTTGCAATTTCTTTCTAAACTATTTTGTAGAGCTTAAAAAAAACAAATTATTTAGTATATTGAAGCGTTATAATGTGCCTAATGGTTACGGAGAAAATTCCAAAAAATTGTAAATTTAAAATTCCCATGTTATTCTTATGGAGAATAAGTAAACTGTTGTAGTTTGCTTGTTTATAAACATATTTTGCCCAAATTTGGAAAATGTTTTTATTTCTTACTAACTATTAACATTTTACATAAAAAACACTTTTACCCTCCCTGTTGCAGCAAACCTAAGTATGTGTAAAACTGATTCTATTTAAATAGGGAATAAATGTGATATTTTTAAGGAGACATTTTAGTGTAAATCCATTCAGGGAAATGGAAATTCGCTTAGTCTGCAGGTTTGCTGCGGCGGGGCTATTATAGTTTGTTCAGTGATTCAGAGATAAAAAAAAACTTAAGTTACACGAGATTTTACTGTATTAGGCCTAAACTATTCATTATAAAATATTTTTTGACTACACGTTCTGTTATTTTAGATTAGGAATAGCGAGTTTAAGGAATTTATAGTGTTCAAAATAGGGCTCGGAAATAGGAGCTTTTGCCCCTACAAGCCACTAGTTTGACTTAAGTTATTCCAAAAATAGGCATTCCATTTATATGATTTATGTGAAACAAATAATACTATTTGGCTTTGGATACTGCAAATAGGCATTCCACTTGTGATCGAATATACTGTTGACTTTAGATGCTGCAAGTAGACATCGCGCATTGATGTGAATTAGGTGGAATTAGATGCAGGATTGACTTTGTATACTGCAAGTATAGACATTCCATTTATGTGAACCACGGCAGGGGTACCATTGACCGTTCGATACTGATACTGGCATTCCATTTATGTGATAGAATATACTGACTATCGAATATGATGACTTTGGATACTGCAAGTAGACATCTCATTTATGCCAACCAGATGTACCATTGACTTTGGTACGTACTAAAAGTAATCTACACATGCCGTTGGCGTGAAACAGATGTAGGATTTACTTTGGATAATTCAAGTAGACATTCCATTTCTGTAAACCAGATGTACTATTGAATTTAGATACTGCAAATAGACATTGTATTTATGAGAACCAGATTAACCATTGACTTTGGATCCTGCAAGTAGATCTCTCATTTACAAGAAACATATGCAGCATTGACTTGAGATAGTGCAAGTAGACATCACATTGACGTGAACCAGATGGTACCATCGATCTCTATTATACTACATAGAGATCGATGGATGGTACAGGCGGATGAATCATTGTCATTGGAAAAGTATTGGAAAGTATGTTACCTCTGCTCAATATTGTTTCAAGCCCATAAAGTACATTTGCATAATCAAAACAAATTTCCTAAAAAATGAATAACATGTTTTAAACCTGAGATGTTGTCACTTAAGTTTAGTGAACTGTGTGGATGAATTTCAGTACTAAATAGTTTTCACATGAAGGGAGCCATAATAATCCAAAAGCTATTAAAAAAATCACAAAGAGGAACATTTAAACCACATACATAAACTATTTTATAATTTCAAGCCTTCCTGCTTCTCTTAAAGTATAAAATAAAAAAAAATAGGTATCCTTGCCATTCTCCCAAACTTCAAACATCAAAGAATATTTGAAACTAGAGGCACTTTAATGTTTAAAACTTGTTTTTACCCACACAATTTGAGAATAAAGAATTAACCTGGCCGAGATGTAAGGAAACACTGTGTTCAGCAAAGAGGGGAAAAGAGTATTAGGGCTATAACCTTCAATATTTTGTGGCTTAAAGGGTCGTCTAAATCACTCTGCATTTCCCCCCTTTTCTTCTCTGCCAAAAATGGTTTGTCATCGACTTTATTCTTCATTGAATTGCAACAAAAACGTATTACAAAATTTACAATTTAACAAATAGAAATTTTACAGTGGTGCATTTGAAATGTTGAAACAGAAGTTCAAGATAGCAGCTTGTGATCACTGATTGTGACTTTACTGTTTAGTAATTACTAACTAATGTAAAGAAATAATTGATTTAAAGCAATCCAAAAAGGGTTTGTAGCTCTCACCTTCTCCATTTTGTATAACAATGGTGTCTATCAAAAGTTTCTGATGAAAAAAATTGATGAAAAAATCATGGAATGTCATTAAAAAATATTTACCTAGTAGATTTGGTCACTTGTGTCGTAAGTTTCATCAAATATTACAACTGTGTTGACATGGCCCAATGCTGTGATTCAGACTTTGTCCAATACATTAGGTAACTTTAAAATAATAGGAAGGTGTAAGGCTGTTTTGTGTTGTTTTTGGAGCAAACTAAAAATTGAGTTTTGAAGTCTAAGAAAAATTAAAGATTTATTGGTTTCAGAAAATGTTAACCAAATTTTACATGTTATGGGGGAAGCATTACTGTGGCAGAAACCCAACTCAAGAAAACCCAAAAGGTTATTAATTGTGAGCTTTAGGCCTAAACAATAAAAAGGCAAAAAGTGATATAAAATAAACCTCTTTATTGTTTTACAAAAGTTTACAGATATTTTGTATAGGTAATCATACAACGGCAACAATCAATAACAACAGAAAATATAGCAAATAAGATATAAATCCGTAACTTAACCATACAGTACAACACAGTTCATTGAGCTTATGATTGGCATCTATCTATATATTAATAGGCAAGCATGTTTCTTTAAAACCTTTTTTCTCAGCTCGTGTGCATCGCAGGGAAAATCTACGTATACTGTTGGAAAGATATTTTCCTGTAGATGTGCAGAATGCCTTTAAAAATTAAAATAGGCTAACAAATAAGAACAAAAAATGAATTTGAAAACTTCAAAAAATTAACATGAACCATATGGGTTGCCATGATGGTGACGAAATAACAACAAAATGTAAACAGAAAATCAAAACAAATGGAGAAATTCCAATCATATGTTTTATTTACATAGTGTGGGGAGAAAATAGAGAAGTCTGTACATTAATTATTTTTGGTCGAGTTTCGACCACAGGACGACCACTAGTTATGATTAAAAGCCAACTCATTTGTCCATACACAGATATCATTACTCTACAAATAATTACACTTCACTATACTCACTCAGCTTTTATATTTACTTATTTACCTTAAAATACACATTTATGTGTTAGTGTGAAAAAAAACAAAAAAAAATCAACGTGTTGCATATTATAATCCTTGAGTGTTTTAAAAATAAATCAGAAAAATGTCAATAACTCGATATAAAAAAGATCATATTTAGGCACTCTTTTAGTAAATTTATTCGAGAACATTTACTGGAGTTAGTTTCCTAAAGACTAGAATATGACTGACACTTACATATTCTTCTGCTTTTACTCAATCCAATAAAAACCTAGTATTAAAAATACACATAGTTAAAAACTATAGACACATCCATGTCAATTAGTCAAAGTCCCTATGTTTAACAATACCAACACCATTGTAATCATTAACGTATCCTAATATTGATTGTTATCTACTTATAAAAGAAGATCAAGTTGAATAAATTGACCATCTAAACCACTCTTATTTTTATCTACTGACTGATACATTATGACTAGTTTGTTCCTACTTTCAGGTAAAAAAAAACAATTTAAAAAACTTGTAAATGTAAAATTTTTATTTGTAGGCTTAACACATTTGCTGCGGTGACGCATGGGGTGCCGTGGTGCGAAACGGCTGCGTCACCAGGGAGTGTGCAATGCATTGTTTGCCCAGTCAGGATCAAGCCGAGGACGGTTGGTAAGCGTTAGTATTGTGTCTCTAATACCAGTCTCTAATTGTGGTTGGTTGTAAATTTCCCTGTAAAATCCCTGTCTGGCTAGCTTAGAAATCAACTTGTCCCGTTTTCCTCCCTCCAATTGGCAATACAATAGAACCGGCTACCTCCCAAGTAGTGCTACTATCTGTGGGTGTTTTATCGAAATACGCCGACTCTTTTTGTAAAGCAGCACATCAGGGAACGTTATTTGCTATTCGTCAGACCGAAATATTTGAAAGCCGATCAACCGGCAATCAGGTTCATTCTACACTGCACCGCACCAGGTCTACGCCTGTCATTGACGGGCCGCAGCAAATGTGTTAAGTGGCATGTGTCACCACTACGTTCTAGGTTGTCCGATGAGAGCTGGGTCAAATTGTTATTTTTAAAAAAGTCTCAGCTTTATCACTGATGAGGATGAGACACATCGTAGAGTGGGCGAAGTGTAAATGGAAAGGGTTTTGTAAATTGTGTAAATACAAATTTGATGCAACTCTCACCGGAAGATCCAGAATGTAGTAAATATTAAATAATAAGGTTAATCAAAAGAAGGGTTTTAAAAGCTACAAAATGAAAAGTATATAAATTTATTAAAGTCAATGTGGCTTATTTATTAATCTATAGTAACCTAGTAAGTAAAAATAACATGTTTTGTAATGAGTAAATTATACCAAAAGCGATAAGCATTGTTATTTTCACAGCAAAATGTATAATGTTACATTCTGTAGCATTGACAGGTAGTGTATCAAGACACGGAGAAGTCAGATACATACAAGCTTATGAGAGAACCGTGATCTTTTAGCTCTGGTAAGTTGGGGCGGAAATGTACTTGTAATGAGCAAGGATGCCCACATAGCGTTGTTGTACAGCAGTTGTAGCACACAGGATCTTCCTACAACGTGAGGGCTGTAGAGCGTGAGGGCTAGGGGGAAAGGAGAGAGGAAGGGGACAAATATAATTTAATCTAGAAACCAGAGACTGGTGTTAGAGCTAGACACCACTTAAATGTACAATCCAACGTATCCTCTGTATTTTACTTCTCTGTAATCAAGGTTTTGTTTACACAGTCATGTAGCACTTGGCAGATCCAAAGAATCGGAGAGTTAATGTGGCATTGAAATGAGATAAAAACTAGATGCACTCTTTAAACGCCCACTATGAAGTCTATTTGAAAGTCAGAGTTTTTTGTTTCTCAAAATATCCATGTAATTTTACATAGCTTCTAAAATTCAAATTCACCCCCATTTTCTCATCTAAAATTCCCAATTCCCAGTTTTTCATAGTACAACAAATCTACCATACATCACTATAAAGAGGTTAAGAACAGAATTTACAGATTGATTTTAGTCAGAAAATATGTTTTGACTAACAGCCATTAAGGCACAACAGGGAACGGGTTTTTACAGCTTTACTTTTTTAACACAAAATATCTGTCCTAAATACTAACTGTACTAACATCACACATATCACATGAATTACATATTAAATCTAAAAAACTTAACTCTCATTGAACAACATAACATTAACACATTTATTTTTCAATAAAAGAAAAATAACTATCTATACATAAAATTATGTAATGGGTGAAAAGTAAAATATCCTCTATCTAATCACATTGTAATTTGTGGACAGTTGACCTTATAAGGTATATAATATTAGGTTATAATCTCATAGCCCTAAAAAATGCAATCTTTGTACGAATAAAACAACATAAATCTTAATATTACTGTAGAAGGGAAATCACAATCTAACAAACAACAAATAATGTTCAATACAGAATTATTATTAGAGTAAAGAGCATACCTAAAGTAAATTAAAATAAATCATAACTTTTATAAATTCTAATGGAAATACAAATATAATAAAAGATTAACAAATTAAATTACACTAAAATGGTATAGAACAAATAGATTAAATTCGAAAAAACATATTTAAACTAGCCTACATGCAAAATGTGTTGTAAATACAATAGACTAATAGACTAAACTCCTGCTTATAAATTTTGATAAAACATAAAATAAAGAATTATTATTTTATCAGATAATGCCTGGTATAAAATGATCACTTGCTTATCACTTAATAATACACCAGATCCTCCAAAGTTTAATACTGCTAAAGCAAAATATTGGCTAGTAAAAGGTCGATGTTAAAAAATTCTTAACAAACAAATATGTAACAAACTTGTACTTACAAATCGTAGTAAGACAAAACAAAACCTAACATTTAGACTAGTCACTGTTCTGAAGCTGTTCGTAGGTTGGCTTGTCAGATTCATTATTTGCTTTACTGTGTTTCAGTCCATAAAAGAAGTAGATGAGTAATCCTGCAACAATATTGCCAAAAAGTTACTCAAGTGTTGAAAAGTTTAAATTAAAATTCACAGATTAATACTATTATTCAGTTTTTTAGTTAAATTATATCAAATGCTGGAAGATTATTAAACTAATCAGAAATAAGGAGAACCTTTCTTCGAATAAAATAAAGAAAAGTTGGATATAAAAGTACTGGTACACAAAAATAAACAATTAGAATTCAATGATTGTAAGAGCACCATCCGGAAACAAGTTGAATAATATGAAAAAATGTTAACTAACACGTGAAATCATGCTAAGTATGCTCCAATACAGCAAGGATGTTAACCAAATGTGCTTTGTGAAATGCAATGGAATTGCATGAGTAAAGCAGGGTTTAAGCAATTCATTTAATAGTAAACAGAACGGTTGCATGAAGAAAAAAAGAATTCACAGCGGATGTGTGGCAACTGGCAATGGAAAGAGAAGGGCAAGAAATAGTTTAAGTTCTGTTCCAACCAACTAAAGAGCCACAGTATAGCTTATGCTGCATACTGGTGTTTATAGATGTAGTTCAGCAAGAGCAACAGGTAGCAGCACCGCACAGTCGCCAACCAGCGGCCAGGGCTGTCAAATGCAGAGAAAAAGCTGGGGCAAAAGATCCGGAAAGACAACAAAGAATTATGTAAACCCAAAATGTTGATTGCATAGGACAGATACAAGGTGCGATGATAATGACCATGTAACTGTGTTAGTTATTCATAATTATGCCACGATGGTGATGATAACATTTCCGTGATCGCAGAAGACGATGATGATTAAATGACCACGGGTGATATTTGTATATTGCCGCGAATGCGGATAGCGAGTATAACATTCCTGTTTCTGTGTGAAATGTTCAGGATTATGCCGCTGATGATAATGTTTCGGTGAACGATAGGGATTTGGCTGCTATCGCAGGAGGCAATGATGGTGATGTTTCTGTTACCGCGGGAGATACTGGGATTTTACTGTGATCATGAAAGACGATGATGTTTTGGTTACCTTAGGTGATGATGATAATGAAAATGATCAAGATATTAAAGATTACAGTCAGCACAGGAATGTGATCAATGCAAATTACAGCTGATTTATGATTTATGATAGGTAGGCTAATACTAAATTTAATACTGCTTTTTACTGCTGACCAAATCTGACATGATTTCAACTGAGTGTAAACTCGTGCTAGTTTAAACTTGAGGATTTGAGACAGGCTTTCTGGCATTTATATTTTGTACAAATTTATCTATTTCTCCTAAAAAATATATTATCTTATTTTGATCAAAAATTTTTCAAATAATAACTTTTATGCTATTACTATATAGTAAGTTCACTTACAATATAAATAAAATAAATGGTATCAGTAATCTGACACATACTTTCTCCCATTACCTCGTCAACAACCTTTATCATGGGTAAGCGATGAGAGTAACTATGATATTTAATTGGTAATAAATAATAACACAAAAGTTACATTGACTTCTGAACCGTAATTTTTACAGGAATAGAGGGTTGCACTATTTGGTTCAGAATTATAAGGACCATACCAGAGGAATTTCAATCAGAGCCGGGGGGTTTATTTTAAATCAATTTTTCTGTTTTTTCATGGGTTTTATGGTAAAATAATATACAGGGAAAATCGATATAACTCCAAAAAAATCGGAAATTGAGATGAATGTATCATTAAAATCAGCTGATGCTGCCGAATAGTATCATTGTAAGGATACATGGGAAAAACGTTCAGATTCCTTGTAATCACTCAGGAAGTATACGTGTAACAGAACAGGAGAATAACGATCAAATGCTGGTGCATTTTGGGAACAAGGATTGAACTCCTTGCCTGTCGTAACAGGAAATACCCCGTTGCATCAGTCTGTCCTTTGCTCTATATTGGTGTTTTGCGTGTTGTGTACTATTGATTTCACTATGTTAAAGCAGTTTTAATAAATTTGTATGAATAAATTGTGTTATATTTATAATACTGTGAGCTAATATGTGATATTTACAGTAGATGTATAATGATTTTAGTGTTTAAGTGAAAAAATATGGATAACAGTGAAGTTAGTGATGATCACACTGGTCAAAATGTAAGTACAACTAAAAAGAGATAATTAAGAACATGACTTGGGCCCAATCTTTATAAACAATACCGGTAGCCTTAAAACTTAATTTGTTCAAGATATTGTTTTATATACAGACTTATTTTATTTTTATTATTTTATCGATATACTCTTGTTTCAATATCCAGAACATTATACAATTAATCTGAAATTAAAGTTAATGTAGTGAAATAAACATAAAATTTGTGTATAATTTTGGTATTTCCAAAAATTAAACCTGTGTCACAGGGGAAAACGATCATGCTCGTGGCATTTTTTTTAACTCCCCCAAAAAATATTTTTTTGGTCATATAAGGTTAAACTATATCCCAAACTTGAAGGAAATATATGCAAAGTCTTTCAGAAGAAAAAATGTCATTTATCTTATATATGTGTTCTTTCTGTACAATAAGTCTGTAAACTTTAAAAATATTAGCCTGAAAAATTTACTTTTTGTGAGTTTGATTGTTTGTCCCCTGTACCCCAAACCCCAATCTTAATCACGGATTGACTTTATTTTTAGTATACTGTCCAAAATATCAAAAGGATGCCGTCCAGTAGGCCTACTCACCAACAATCATCCACAGTATGAAGCGTATCCAGGTGTCAAACTCCATAATGAACATGAAGTAGAGGTTCAGGAAGATGCTGATTGTCGGAGTCAGAGGTAGACCAGGCACCTAGACATTAACAAAATTGTCACAGTCAATTAAGGGATTAGGGAACCTACAAAGTGAGGACAATCGTTGCTTAGCCTACTAGGTGTAAGCAGTTTGTAAAATAAAGAAGAATAAAAGGTTTTTATGTTATTTAATGAAAAATACTTTATTTGGAAGGGGACATCATGTGGTAATTTGAAAAAATATTTTTATAAACATGTCCAAATAAAAACATTTTTGTGTTTAGCGAGGGGAGAAGGGTGGTAAGCTAAGTACAAAAATGTCAAATTTTCAGTAAGGGAAAGTAAACGTTAAAGTTGCGTGATCCTGCTGGATATTGTACAAACACCAACCAGTCTGACTACGGATATTGGCAAGGCTATTTGTTTCCTCTCCACAACATCAACAAACATATGCAAATATATCTGTCGCCCATGTGTAAGAGTTGAGCACAAATGTAAAAGATAACCGTTACAGACCTGAAACATGATGGAAGAAGTGCCATGAGGCATTCCCTGGAAGCAGGCCAGCATGAGACCTATCAGAAGTACGAGGACTACACAGAAGTACGACCACAGGCCTGGGTCACTACCCGAGGGCATATGCTGGATATGAATCAACCCCATCACCAACAGTATACATAGGAACGCTGTAACAAACAATCATTGTACGTATAACCCGTCAAACACATTCTACATTCTTCTTCAAATAAAAATCACAGAAAAACAATTCAGATTTTATACAGGATTGAAAATGTGAATGAGTCTGTTATTTGTAAATGTTATATTTTTGGGCGAGGTGTAATTCAGTGGTGAATTTACAGGGCTTTCTCTTTGTTATGTGACAATTTCAAATGTCAAAGTCCAAGAAACTTGTCGGAAACAAAGCGAAAGCTCCGTTAGCGTGGATCGGCTGTTTTTGTGAACCCTTTCATCAACTTTAATGACCAGTTCATCAGTCACAATGCTCGGACGTCCACTCTTCGCTTTGTCATGAACTTCAGTTCGGTCATTTTTAAACTGAATGCACCACCGTCTAACAGATCTTTCATTCATTAAGTTGTTTCCGTAAACTTCACACACTTGGTGATAACAGTTTTTTGCCAACAAAAACCTTATTACTGACCGCACCTCACAACTAGTGGGGTTTTTAATCGCAGCACACATCTTTAGTTGAAATGGCAAAAATAACGGGCAGCGAGATGTTCCCGTTGTCACGGCTGAACGCCGACTGAGTTGCCGAGTGTACACACACCAAAATGTATGAGATCGGTATATGCGTAGTGGCGTCAGAAAGAAACGTTCCTTACTTTCTGAATAGCCTACGTATTTCATTGGACATCATGACATTTGGACGTCGTACAACACTCCCCCCCTGTAAAATATCCTATATTGGGATCGAATGAAAAGAGAGCTTGACGACAAAAGATACCGGTTTTACACAAGTACAAAAGTTTACATGTGTTTAAAATTGAACTGGGTACCTCACTTTTAGGTTAATAATTTTAGAAAAGGATAATCCACTTGTTTGACTGAGGTTTGAATATTTGTTTCAAGTGTAATTCTTGTCTTCTTTTGCAGACTTTAAAAAATATATTACATACCTCTCAATTTGGGGATACATTAGGCAAAAGTACCACCAACTACAGAAAGATCTTAACAAGTAAAAGATTTTTTTGGTACGCCAAACCTAAACTTCTATCTTAAGAACTTCATTACTAGGGGTTCCTATTGAAAGAGAAATAATTGGTCCGCCACTAAAATAATAATCAGTTATGTGCTTTGAACAAATAGACCCGACAAAAAGCAATTACTTACTGTGTTTACGGGGATATTTTTGAATGATATAGAGGTACATAAACTTACTGAGCAGGTAGACCATGAAAGGCACATGTGTGAATGGAGGTTTGGTTGGGTCAAATCTGCTCTCGGCCTGTGTCTGTTTAGACTTGGACGCCAGCAGAGGAGAGTTTTCACTGTCAGAGAGTCCTCCCTCTATGAAATCTCCCTCCTGGCGATATCTGCACAAACCAGGCGACGAATTAACATAATTCTAACTAGATTACACTCCTATCACACAACACACTATGATAAAGTTTTGAACATTGAAAAAGCTAAAAACGTTTTTCAGGATCAAACTGACAACCTTTGGATTGCTAGGCAAGCACTAAAACCAATCACCTGACTAGAGCAGATCAAGTCCACCTTGATCTTTCTCCGATTTTGTAGTAAAAAAAAACATTTTTCCTATCTAAATACATTTTTTTATGTTCAAACTGGTTGTTTGTTGATGCAAAAAAGCACTATTAATAATTGTTTATGAATTCTTAATGTTTGCATTGAGCTCACCTCAGTATAAGCACTGCCATTGCTACTATGATGTAGCAGACCAATGTAGCCATTGACATGAGCTGCATCAGATGTTTAAGGCTAAATACAGCCGCCATCAAACCTGTCAAGCAGAACATCATTCATCATTCAATGATTCCATTATGAATTCAAATAAAGTACAAGATTGAAACTAGAGTAGACTATCACCTCCCACCTCATTATCTCGTTTAGCGGGATGCGTTTTTACCACACTGACATTACCCTGTCACACCTTCCTGTTCTACCGCAACATACTTCGAGTGAAGAGCACGAGCATCACATGCTGAGCACTGTTGATAGCAATAAAAGTAGGGATAAACGCGCGGCACAACCAGCTAGTGTAGCTGCTCTCATTAAACTCCATGTGTTTTGCAGTTCGTCCTGTCGTCCCGCTACGCCGCAGCATGCATGCGGTGGATTCCGCTGACGCACTGCAACCGCTCCCATTAAAACCCATGAGTTTGAATCATCCCGCCAAACGGGTTCCGTTTAACCGGACCGGCGAAACGGGATAGTGTGGCACCGGCCTATGAAGACTGGGAAGAAGGGTTGAAGATGAGTAAGAGTACACCAGGAGGTAAAATACCATCTAGAATTTTGTTCACTGATTATTGCACATTGCTATTGGTATAGAGAATTGATCGTCAAAAGTCAATATCTATGTTTGACAACTCCACGAAGATCGTGCAATAAAAAATTCAGGCTTTTGCCTCGATTGTGGATGACGACGATATTTTTATGTGACATTAGGAGACAATGATAAAGTCTAATGACAGCGGGAGGTACTCAGGGTTTGGCCCTGTTCGGGGAAGACAATGGTGATGATGATGATCCTGTGACCAAGTTAGATACTTAAGATTCTGTCGTGGTCGTGGAAGACAATGATGTTTGTATTTTTGTTAAGGAATTTTCCAAGAACGTGGAAGCAGTGATAAGATGCTTTTGTAACTCAGAAAGATATTAAGGATTTTGCAGTGATCGTGGAAGACAGTGAAGATGTCTCCACGACCATAGGAGATGATCATATTATTTAAATTCATTGTTAAGCCCCTGAGCTGTGGATATTATTGTAAGAATATATTACTTACGTCAATCAGCTCATTAAGTCGTGAGTTTCACCTCAGTACATGTTTCGACACATTGTCATCATCAGCTGAGTTAGTACTTGTGAAGGTTTAATTCACCAGATGGCTTCGTCATGTTGAATAAATTAACACGTAACATGTAACACGAATACGACACGACACATATACAGTACATTTATAACACGTAAAACTTGAAGACATGCAGGCCTGCTCGAACAAAACATACGGTCACGCCGCGGGTCGGGGACAGACTGACTAATTGTTTATCCAGGCTTATCATTGTTATCTCGAAGGCAGTGGACAGCTGTTTCTTTGGTAGGAATGATAGAGTTGAATATTGAGTTGGAGCTGAAATTTAGTTTTTCATTTAGAACAACTTCCTTTGCGTCGTTATTTTTATGAGCTCTGTAGATTTCATATTCTTCTAACGTGTCCAATTTTCTGCCTTTTTCACAAATGTGGAGTATTTCTAGACTGTTTTCTATTGTTCCGAATGAGTGGTTGTGGTCGATTATATGTTGGCTGAATGCTGACTTCTGTTTGTTCGTCCTAGGGTTGCAACCCTAGAACCTCAAGCAATAAATGAGTTAATGGAACTTCTAGCTGAGATATTAAAACAAAATTATTTTATGTTTGAAGACAGATTTTATCAACAAACTGACGGTCTAGCCATGGGCTCACCACTATCAGGGTTTCTAGCCAATATCTACCTTGATCATATTGAAAATGAACACATCTTTTCAAATAAAAACAAATATAAGGACAAAATATTATTCTACTATAGATATGTAGACGACACAATACTGTTATTCAATGGAAACAATAGACAACTGAATCTCCTCCACAACTACCTCAACAAAATAGCCCCAAAACTTAAATTCACCATCGAAATAGAAAATAATAACCAACTCAACTTTCTCGATTTAACCCTGAAAAAGAAGGACACGAAACTGGAATTCAGCATTTACAGAAAACCGACCACAACTGATCAAACAATCCATGCCAGCTCATACCATCCACATTCACAAAAAATGGGTGCCTACAACTCAATGATACATCGTTTACTAAGTATACCATTAAATAAATCCGATTTTGAATCAGAGGTAACAATAATAAAACATATCGCTAGGGCAAATGGTTATGTTGACAGTTTAGTGGACAGACTTATCACCAAACATAAGAACAAACGAGAAAATAAAAGTGAAACTTGTCAACCAAACCGTGAAAATAAGGCCAAATATGTATGTATTGAATACAGTCACACCATACAACACACGTTGAACAAATCTATGAAAGATAACAACTTAACCCTAGTATTCAACACTAAGAATAAAACAAAAAACTTGCTGAATTACAAAACGCCAAATGTAGAAACGAATACTAATAACAAAACTGGTGTCTATAAACTAAAATGTGCTGACTGCCCGAGCATATATATAGGCCAAACTGGTCGCGGGTTTAACACACGGTTTAAAGAACACAGACCCAACCCTAGGACGAACAAACAGAAGTCAGCATTCAGCCAACATATAATCGACCACAACCACTCATTCGGAACAATAGAAAACAGTCTAGAAATACTCCACATTTGTGAAAAAGGCAGAAAATTGGACACGTTAGAAGAATATGAAATCTACAGAGCTCATAAAAATAACGACGCAAAGGAAGTTGTTCTAAATGAAAAACTAAATTTCAGCTCCAACTCAATATTCAACTCTATCATTCCTACCAAAGAAACAGCTGTCCACTGCCTTCGAGATAACAATGATAAGCCTGGATAAACAATTAGTCAGTCTGTCCCCGACCCGCGGCGTGACCGTATGTTTTGTTCGAGCAGGCCTGCATGTCTTCAAGTTTTACGTGTTATAAATGTACTGTATATGTGTCGTGTCGTATTCGTGTTACATGTTACGTGTTAATTTATTCAACATGACGAAGCCATCTGGTGAATTAAACCTTCACAAGTACTAACTCAGCTGATGATGACAATGTGTCGAAACATGTACTGAGGTGAAACTCACGACTTAATGAGCTGATTGACGTAAGTAATATATTCTTACAATCATATTATTACCTCAACCTCGGCTTGGTCGAAAATATTAGGTGTGTCAGCACCTTTATTTATTAAAAATTTATTTTTAATATTTGTTTGTAAGATCTTAATTTAAATTTTGTATTGTATTTGTTCAATGTGTTTAGAAGGATTTAGATTGGAATTGGTATCGCTATGATGAATCGATAAATTTTGGTATTGACACACCATTTTCAATACATTATTTTTTATCTCATTACACAAAGTGCAAAAAAATCACATAAAAAGAATACTTTCTCCATATACTATGTATAAGGGGAAAAAGTAAAAGGAGTAAAATCATTGCAAAAACAAGCTTGGTAATCAATCACCTGTTATTACTCCTGAGACGATTGTACCAATGAAGGGAGTCTTGAACTTTGGATGAACCTGTCCAAGCCACTCAAACAGCAGTCCGTCTTGGGCCATGGAGTAGATGATCCTCGGGAGGGGAAACAGACCTCCGAATAAGCTAGGAAAATAAACAACAACTAAATCAAAATTACTCATTCAATTTATTACTTACTGACTATTACCCTTTACTCCCATAAATGCTACAACATCCTGTTGTCTGAGAATGATATTTTTTATTTAAAGGAGATTATCTATATTTGTGGGTGGTCATGATAAACTGGACTAGAAACACTCATAATCTCTCCGTGTGGCTGGTAGGACTAAAATATGGATAACACTTAATATTTTTTTTTTACAGTCGCGACTTGCTCTCAGCCGGTGCCGTATCACGTGTTTCGTTACCGTCTGGTCGACCAGTGTTAAATGTTCCGTTTTGTGTTTTCGTGTTTTATGTAGTGTCCATGTTATTTATTTTACCATACACTTTTGACGAACTCCACCAAGAGGAATATCTAATGACCACTTCTTGACATTCTTTTGACCCTATGATGTGCTCCATCCGAAGCACGAAACAGCTGTAGTCACAGCGAACTACAAAGGATTGTTTTGGACAGTAACAAGGTAAAATAAACCACTATACATTTTTTTTACAGTTGTACAACATGCCAGCTACATTTTGAAGAATGTTTTAGTGGTTTGTGCTGATAAATTTGTTGAAATACCATACCTGGCTCCGAATCCAAAAAGACTTCCAAAAGTAACTATCCATTTGGCCCACTCTAGGTTGAGCTCAGCAAATACATATGGTATTGGGGCTTCCTCATCCTGAAACATTTAAAATAAGTTACTACTAGAGCTACTAGGTAACTATTTGGTAAAAATGTTTAGACCAGGTTTTAAGGATTTTGTGGCGGTAGGAGTTAACTGATGATCATATTTTAATAGCACATGTAAACATAGAATTTTTGGAACAACTCTAGGATCATGTTTTTGTTTAAAATTTTTTCTTGTTATTTCAGTTATATAAAGCCTTGTTTAGGCGGTAAATACATGATAAGTGTGATCGATTTGATTGGATACTCCAATCATCAACAGACCCAATAGACTAATGCTATTGAGCTAATAGGTGATTACTAGATTTGAATAGTAAACATACTTTCAACAATTTAAAATAAAAAGAGAGATTCTTGGGATACAAAACCCAAGGGACAGCACTGGCTTGTACTATATAGTAAGGCTATACAGTATAAGGTAGGTACTACCTGGAGGTAGTAAGGCCACATAAGAGTCAACACTGTAGACACTCCAGAGTACGCCAGGAAGCAGATGAACAGAGAGGCTATGATGGATATAGGAATGGCTCTCCTGGGATTACGTACTTCCTCTCCTGCAAAAACATTTCCTTGTGTCCATTCACAAACTACAAACATTAACTGACCCTTGTGACATGAAAACTATTGCTGTCCTTTTTATTTATGTTAATACATAATTGTTTTAGTATACAGTGAGGTGCCTGGTTAGTCAGTCACGTTCAAAAACCTGTAAAACTTTATTGGAGTTTTTTTCCAATTGTTAATAAGAGATTGGGGGCCTCTTTCAACCTTGCATTTGCCCATCTACTTAGTTCTTGGGCCTGTGCATGGTACTGTGCATGGTTAAGGAATAGTTAGGCCAGTTTAGTACAAGAATGAACTGTACTGATAACACTTAGAGGTGTACACCACACAAAATCTTTAACATCACTGCCATGAATTAATAGTACGGCACTGTCAATACTGCGGTTGTTTCTGCCAACACGTTATTAAGTACCAACAAGTTTGGGTCACTATGGCCCTACTTTCCCACACTCTTCAGAAGCGCTTTGACCTTATAAGCGGCTTACAATCCTACATGTTTCAATATTTACCTGTTTTAGGCAATAAGACCCAAGAAAGGTTAATAGGTACTTTTTAACATAAACAATTGCATTGGACAGCCCCCCCCCCCCCCCAAGAGGACAATATATTTATCCTCTCTAACTGGCTTACCTGAAGTAGCAATGACATCAAATCCAACAAAACCATAGAAACATGTGGCAGCTCCTTGTAGGGTGCCTACAATACCATATGATAGAAATCCTCCGCTACCATACCCAACTGGTACTATGGTCTTGGGCAGCTTCCAGTTCTGGAAATCAGCTGGAAAATATGACTATTGTCAATCATATAGCTAATTTATTCATGTACACTAGTTAGTGATTATTTGTTACTATTAATGCGCATGGTTAAAAACAATACCATACTCCTTTTGTAAACTGAGCAATGAGCATGTAAATAACCATAAATCTTCATATTTTGTTCCATTGTTACTATTTATTCACAATGTTCAAAACCGTTATGGATACAATACCAGACGTATTTTTAAAGGGATAGAGGGTAGAGATATTTTAAAGTCATCAATTTATAGAATTAGTTGAACAGTGCTATTCACCAAATATCTTGACATAGAATAAAGTGCTCAGGAAATTGACAAAAAATGTTTTAGAATAGCTATTAAAATAATTAAATTCACACTACACTCATCTCCATTCATTATTGGCTTTAAATACCTACTTTCGTATGGTCCCTATTTCAAAGTAAAGTATTAAAGTATTTACTTATTTTCATTTTCCCATAGTGGTTTAAATATTATCTTGTTACTGTCTAAAGCGATACTTTGTAGTTTACTAGGACTACAGCAGTTTTGTGCTTCAGATGGAGCACATAATCAGGTCTGAAGAATGTCAAGACATCATTGAATATTCCTTGTGGTTGAGTTCGTCAAAAGTGACGTCTTAACATTCTTGTGACCTGATGATGTGCTCCATCTGATGCACGAAACTGACGTAGTCCTAGTAAACTACAAAGGATTGTTTTGGACAGTAATAAGGTAATATAAATAACTATAGTTAATTCAGATGATCCGGAGACCATTCTATCATTCATTTTTCCATCTGTGCTGGACTGTTGAAAATGTCTTAAGACAATAAATGACTGATAATCTTCCATAGCTTTCATGTTTGACACGACACAGTACATATGTCTCTGTTGCACTCGCTACGATCAGTAACAGCTGTAAAATATTGAGCAACCAATAAACAATGTGTGGTATACAGCCTTGTTAAAAAAATAAAAATAGTTCTCTGATTCTCACATGACACCAACTGGGAACCTTTGGGTCTTGTCAAACCAAAGTGTCTTTTTTTGACAAGAAAGGCTCGTTAAATGCTGTGAAGGGTTAAGGGGATACGCCACTATCTGTAGGCCATATTTTATATTTTTTTTACATTTTCCAAAAGTTGCATTTTTAGATAGGTCATTTAAATGTGAACATTTAGCTAAAATTGTTTGCCAATCTGACAACTCCTTCTAGTATAAAAAAAATAAAATATAAAACGCCGCAACCAGCAATTTAACAAAATTTTGAACTATTTTTTTTTGTTCCTGATATGTACACTTTTAATTGTGTATCATAATTATGTATTATGGAGTTATAAAGTAGGGTACATGTATTTAAAACAAAATAAGTACTTTGCTATTTTTATATATAATATAAAATAATAAGTTAGAGTAGTTATGGGAATTTTTCTCCTGTCAACCACCTGTTACATCACCTGCGATTATCTCAATACCGTGTTTTTTAGGTTATTATTGTACAAAAGTTTGAATAACTCCGTTAGTACTATACTTATAGTATTCAAATTTTCACCAGACCTTCTTTATATAGTAATAAAGGATTGTGTGTATAGTAAGCCCTATAGCATTACATTTACTAAAAATATTTATGTTTACGCAAAAATTTTAAATATTTTTTTCAGCTTTTTTATATTTTGAATAAAAGGTGTCCTAAAAATTTTGTTTTTTTAGTTACCATAACGATATAACACAGAAATACTAATTATTTCATCCTGAATCAGGAAATAAATAGAATATGTCATTCCGATCAGTAGTTGAAAAGTTATTCTCAATAACGACTTCTTAAAAATTTTGGTGAAAAAAACTAAAAACGCATATAAATTTAGTAAATAAGTTATAAATTCAATATTTTTGTACCTAAATCTTCTAACTAAGTCTAGTATAAACAAAATATACTAACTAGGTTGACAAAAATAAAATAATAAAAAAAAAGTTGGAGATAGTGGCGTATCCCCTTAACATTATAGTATCAAAAATGATTTAGTATAACAAATTATCAGTTTCTATTTTGGTTCAAGCTTACCATAAAAACTGCCCAGAACAATGACAAAGATGACGATCCCGCAGTTGACAGTTGAGAGAAGATTGTTAAGGATTATTGACTCCTTCAGGCCCACGGCAAGTCCAACTAAAACAGGTCCGTTTATTAGAGTATAAGTCAAGATAGATCCAAATTCATTTCAATAAAAACTACTTGTAAAAACTACGATTTGTTTGTGCCAAAATCGTATATTATTGTTCTCTGTATAAAATCATTGTTATATTTATTCTCTGTTAATTTTTTTGTTGCCATTTTGTTACCGTTTGATTTACAAATTTTATACCTTGTTATGTTTGAATATGTTCATGTTGTATTGTAGCACTAAATTTAAAACTGTGATCAACATCTTAGGAACCAATTTATGTTTTAGAATAATTAAGGACTGAGAATCAATTTTTAAGAGATCAAGACGAAGCACCTGTACATGTGATTTTCACAAATTTGTATGTTATGTGCAAATAAATTATTATTATCATTACTTAATGTTTTAGTTTGATAACAAAACGGATCTGAATTAAGAAGCACCATATCCATATCACACATGTTTATACAAACCTATTAATTAAAAATATTTAGAAAATGCAAGTAGGTTTTACAGTATTATGGAAATAATAGTAAAATGTGATAAATAATAAGTACTTACAGCATACAACGACTGAAATAGCAAATGCAAACATATCAAAATATCCTGACAAAAAAGGTAGATTTACTGGGAACATAGATTTGAAGTAATCTGCCATAGCATAGTCAAATAGAGCGTCCAAATACACACTGCTTGCCTTAGCAACACTGGCTGCACCTGCAAGATAAAGAGTTGTAAATTAACAAAGTAAATTATTTTGATTACCTGAGGAATATTTAAAATGTATTATAACAATTCAGCGAGCTTTATTTTTTTGAGTTAACATTTGACCACCTTCCAATATTGTTTTTTGTTTGCTTAAATTTAGAGAAGGAAAGACCTGGAAGAAGGTAGACAAATGAGATGAAAAGGATGGCAGAAGAGATGAATGAGACGATACGTCAAATGGCCAAATAGGTGAAAGAAGAAGAGAGGAACTGGAAAGATGAGAAAAGATAAAGAGTTCATGGCAGACTCAGGAATATGTATATGTGTATTTATTATATTTGCCAAACTCGATAAATGCAACTCGTCAACAAAGTGGGGATATCAAAATTGTATATTTAAACTGCCAACACAATTATTTTAAGAGAAAATTATATGTAATCTGTGGCTATACATGGTCAAAAGAAAATTTACAATCACTTACTATAAAAACAATATCTTCAGACAAGGGCATAGGTCAATCTTCATAGCAATATCTTATCACTTCCATTGACTTCTCATTGTACAACCAAGACCTTTCTAATGGCCCAAAATGTTATCAAACATTAAATGTTTAGTTAAAATACAACCTATTACGCCTTGAACCGATATACAATGTTTTTGCTTGTTATGTAAACAATGGTCATGGCTAAAGTTAAAAAAGGCATGTTACTCCAGTCTACATACATCCTTCCCTCATATTCTGGTTAAATTACACAGCAATGTAATGAAAATTACATAATGATAGGGGTTATAACTTATTACTATACCAATACATTGTGAACTTACCAATTATGTATTCTATGATGAGATTCCAGCCAATAATAAAAGCAATGAACTCTCCAACAGTTACATAGCTGTAAATGTATGCGGAGCCTGCTTTGGGCACTCTTGCCCCGAATTCAGCATAGCACAGACCTTGAAACACAAAAATACAGATATAAAATTATATATATAAGTGATGATTATAATTCAATTCAAATGTTTAATTGCCTGTATAGTTTATAGCTTACAATGAGCACTGATTATAATTTTATTTATACGTTCATAGTGAAGATGATCACTGTTACAGGTAGTTCTTGCTAAGAGATCTATCTTTGAAAATGTTTAGCTCCTTATAGCGAATTTCCCTATAAGGAAGTACTTTAACTATCACCGTAGGTTGCACGGTAAGACCTAGAACCGGGGCTGATTTACTTTTTAAATTTTGATCTCAATAGGCCAAAAACACAATTCGTTGGAATTTGTATACATGTACTGTATGTATGTTGTATATATTCAGGGTGTCCCGGAACTCTCTGGAACCCTTTTGTATAGGTATTTGTTTCTTAGGTCAAAATAATTACAAAAATTCCATACAAACATGGCTCTAAGATGCTTGGTTTTCCACCTGTGTGTCTGTATGTGATTTTCACAAATGAATCCATAACTTGAATACCTTAAGCGATTGACTTGAAACTTAGTATGTGAGTAGTGACAAGTAAGTCTAATCTTTGCAGAAAGTATCAGATTTATAAATTGTACCAATCCAAAATGGCAGCCATTTAAAATTGTCTATCTTCAATAACTTTAAAATAAGTGATGATACTAAAAACTATCAAAAGAGTAGGCCTATACAATTTTGGGACATTTTATGACTGACAACGATATTTAAACTGTAAAGATCAGTTAAACAACCAAGATATAAACATTTTTGTGAGACCAGTCATGGTCTAGACCGCCACGCCAAAGGGACAAGGCAGGGTGTAACAATAGGAAAATATCAAAACAAAACTTTCATAGCTTAAATGGTCTAGGTTAAAATGGTGATTAAAATGTGACAGACACTTAATTAATGTTAAGATTTTCACCTGCTAACATGGAAGCTACAGCTGCATAGAAGAAGGATAGAACAACTCCAGGTCCTGCACTATCTCTAGCTACCCCTCCTGGAATGAGATAAACTCCCACACCCAGTGTTGTGCCCACACCTAGAGCGATCAGGTCAAAGGTTGATAGCACCTGCAAACAGTACATATACAATTACAATTTGTGTTACAAAGTATGTTCTTCAATTTGTTAACCATTATGTGACGTTAGGTTTATAATATCGCGTAAATTGTTTAAATACCTGCTTATAGTAATCATTGGTTGCTATTCAGATTCAGATTCAGAAACACTTTATTCAAGATTTACATTTTACAAATATAAATGCAGAATGTACCCCTATAGGGTGCTAAAAGGGGAAACAATAATCTATTAAGTCTACAGTGCATGTAAGTATTGTCTACTGCAGGTGGCAGTCCTAGGCAATAAAGAACTCAGTACACATAGGGGCAACCAAAAGGGGTACACACTATTGCGTAGTCATATTACAAGTGGGCTTTCCTGTACTATCTAACAAGAAGGAGTTGCGAACAAAAATTACATGACCAGTTAATCAGGAATATGACTTTATAGACCTTAATCATTATCTAATTAAATGGCTAAATTATTGTAAAATTTCTTTAAATACACCAAGCATTACCAACTGTGGGCATTTGTCCCAGTACGAGAATGCCTAGGCATTTTACGGAACTAACTCTTCACAATCGTACCTTGCCCAGCTGTGAAGGTTCACTCATCACCAATGCCAAGGACTTGCGGCGAGTCAAGGCTTGAAAGAGCCCCATTGCTGGTCACTGGAACAATAACCATCCATTATAGCCCATGAAATAAATCAAGATGATAAATTCACAAGAAGACCCCTGAAGATGCCACACAAGGTGGTGAAATGCATAGGGTGACACAACTATCTTACCTTCAAGTACTCAGGCAACAAGAACAAAGGAAAATCAGATATAATTCAAGTTCTTGAAATTGAGATAACAAAATATTTAAAGCATATTAATTATGATAGGTACACACACATCAATTTTGTATGGTTTGGATGATGCATGGTGCTGGTGCACACTGTGTGATGTAAACATTCTGATTTTCAATTCATGCTGTGTTGTTAACGATTGTTGACAACCCAAAAACAAAATTTGTAGAATGAACTCCTCCGCCACGATTTTGACCATTCATGTCTCATTAGAAAGCGTATGTTGCGTAAGTGTGCAAACTGATCTAAAAATGTTTTAAAAGGTCCTTTGGGCTATGCCTCAACACGTGCTACAAACATTAAATTTTACTGATTTGGTAAAAAAGTTTGACCATTACAAGTCATCCTGAACAAAAAAAAAAAAAAAATGGTTTTTGAAGTAATGGTATGTGTGATTGTAGCTTCAGGCCACACCTGTGGTCCGATTTTGATGATATTTGGTGTGTGGATACTAATCCATGGTATCTCCAGGCCTTTAATAACTTTTTGAGATTTTGATTTTAATGGCAGCCTAATTTTCCCATAAAACGCACAAAACTAAAAAATATAATAATTTAGTATGTTACAGTCCTTTTGTCTCTAAACAAGATGGTATAACCAACAACACTGTAAAAAATTTGGTTCAAAAGTTTTTGTAACTTTTTTAGCTTTTCTCCACAAAGACCAATAAAAAAGAAACAACAAACAAATTGGATAAAAACCATTTAACTAATTTTGGTTAAAACTGTGTAGTGTAGGCTATGTTTTAGTCCTTTTAACTCTAAACGGTACAACCCCTATTGCTGTAAAAATTACGGTTTACAAGTTATTGCAACCTTTGTCATTTCCCCCATGAATTATAAAATTAACTCTCTCCATTTAGCCATGTGATATGGGTGTTTGACAAGCTAGAATGGGAGAAGAACATTAAATAAACGGTATTATTAGCAATCTGACAATTCTCTGACATCTCCGAGAAAGTAACTTATGTGTCAGATTGCTAATACCGTTTATTTAACGTTGGCATAACAAACGATGACTTACTTTCCTTGATGCACAATATACTATTTTCATTTTGTGGCTTCTATTACTAACCGAATAGCATTTAAATCAGTTTTAAAAATCCATATTTTCACAAAATCTCCCCGGGTTCCCGGATGTTTACTATCTATTGCAACCCGGTTCCAAATCCTGCGAGCGCCCATGCCTGTAATGCTTTGCAATTGCTTGAATTTGAGCAACAGGTACACTAGTATGACTGATGATGTAAAGGAATAAATTAATGTTAGAAGAATCATAGCTTAAAATTAAAGATACACTTATTTTAGTACCAGCATTGACTATTGGATACTGCAGTAGACCCATCTTTATGGCCATTTTTTTATAAAGAAGGCTTCAAACCATGTCTCCATTAGAATATACTGTATGTTTAAAAATGTAAATGTTTCAATTTGAAATAAATTACCAAATAGGTAAGAAACTTATACCGTGGCCCTCATGGTAATCCCGATTTTTTGGCTGATAACATAAATTACAATATTATATTAAATTTGAGGTCCGGCAGGGGTGCCAATCCCCCCCAAAACCCATGTCGCAAAATCCCCTCTACCTAATTATTTGGACGACCTATGACGAGAGGTCCGGAGAACCCCCCCCCCCCACACAATGCCAAAAAGTCGAGAGAGTAAATTAAGAAAATACATTTTCTTTTAGATCTGTGATAGGATTTGTAACCTAATTTTTATGTGCAATCTGTTTCTTTGTTTGAAGTTCATTGTTGGTGATGGTGAGTTAATGTTGTTCAAAGGTTTATCGCGGACATTTTCCATCACGAATGTAAAAAACAATACACAACGTTTCGGGATCTGGAATCTGATCCCGTCTTCAGGTGAAAAAACTTAACTAACACATTACAACTAACAATACACAAACGCCCAACCTAAGTTGGAATACACTACCGAGGGTAGTAGTCAAAAAATATGCACTGTATAGCAGTCAAGTCATGATACAACATGCAATTAATTTAACAAATCACAAAACACTATAATCTATAAAAGGTTTAACGTACAAAAAACTCACACAATAGAACACTAACAACACCGTACGCTATGACTCCACCGATGAGACTGAACAACCAATCTGTTTGTTTTAAATTATTATATTATTATATCCGGACTGTCCGGAGAAAGATTCGGAAGGACCTAAGAAAAGTTGTAAAAAATCACAATAACTTATCCAAAGTTTTTATATTTTTTGCATTCCTCAGACTTGTCAATATTTACAGTAAAAACTGTATCGTTTGACATAAAATGTTTGAATATTTGCTGTGAATTGTGTAACAAATCAAGTATTTATATTTTTTGGAACTATTTCCAACTGTATTAGTAATTTTTTATCCAGTTAACAAGGTTAGGTATCAATCTTAAAATCTAGACTAGCGAATAGCCATTAGCAATTTAGACCAGACAATTTTAGGCCTACGGCCTACGCTTTTTTTGAAAGTTAAAAGAATTTGAATTAATATAAAATAAACCCTGTATTATATTAAATACTTACATAAAAAACAAAAAAAAAAAACAATCAAATAGTAGACATTACTCACCTAAAGGAAGAGCCAAAAACACTGCGGGTTTACAACTACAAACCACTAGCTGTTATCAGTATTATCAGTTTACCCCTGACCTGCCATGTGGGAGCAGAGTTCCATCTATGTTTGGGTTGGAGCAATATTTGAGACCAATGTTGCAAGATAGGCCGAACCTCTTATCTCATTTATAAAACATTGATTTAATTAGTCTGGTAGGGCAACTCTGATAGTAAAAACATTGTTTGGTTAAAGTGTAAAGCAAATAATGAAGTTCATATTTACAAGTATAGCATGTGTAAACATAGAAAATATCAGTTAAAAATTTTGGTTGTGTTGCTAGTGGGATCATCTCATAACTCCAAGGTTTCACAACTCCAAGTGATCATAACTCCAAAGTTTCATAAGTCCAAGAGATCATAACTCCAAATTATATTTAATCCAAAGTTTCACAACTACAAGTACCCGAAAAGGGATAATTTCATTACTCCAAGAAAAATATAAGCGCAAGTGATCATAACTCCAAAGTTTCATAAGTCCAAGTGATCATAACTCCAAAGTTTCATAAGTCCAAGTAAAAATTAAACCACAGTCTCATAACTCCAAAAGTTGAGTGGAGTCTCATATCTCCAAGTGGAATGTGTAGTACAGTCAGCGCCACAAGTTCCTGCGCTGTCCGCTCCGCTGTAATACTGTCAGCAGCCGTTGCCGCATCATTGTACAGTATCTATATACCTACCGTCACCTGTCAAACGATTATGTAATTTTGTTATATACTTACAGATTAATTAATTGCTATACTTCTTACTTCTATGCTAAAGGGACTTTAACCTTTAACTACTCGCGCGGGTTTTACTAACGTATATGTACTCGCGTGGGGTGTTTTTGACACCCCGTTATTACATATTTGTTATAATTGGTAAATAACATTTTTTGTTGTTATTTAAGTTTGTTTTACTGTATACTGTTTCCAATATGAAAGAGTTATTTATTTTAAGTTATACAATGTAAATAATATATTTCTTTTACCAACTGCAATTTGTGTGTGTATTTGGTCAACTTTTGCATATAAACCATTTGTTGTATTACAAAATATGTATTTTGTCATTGAACTGTTTGATATTGAATAACTAGCATATGTACTATCCGGAAAATATATAATTTTTAAAAGATTATATTATGTCTGTGAATGGTAAAGGTATTATTTTTTCCTAAAATGTACTACTAAAAAAACAGTTTTTAGGGGGGGGGATCGTAATACACACAAGTTTTGTGCAAACAAATTCATTTATATGTCAAAAACACTTGTTTGTTATCGAAATAAATGTAAATAAAAAATGTCCTTTCATTACTTTTAGAGTCTTTCGCAAAAAGAAAAAACATTACCTTATACAGGAACTTGTACTTTTTACGAAACGTTAACACTCACGTGGGGAGTTGAAAACACCCTATACTTTGTAATACACATGTATTACCAAGTGAACACTAGAGATCGCACGGGGACTTTGGATGAGAAACGTTCACAGTTTTAACTTTACATTTCAGGTAATTTACACTAGGTGTACAATGCAGTTGTCTACTTGCAATATTGAGCAGATAGCAGACATAATAATCAAATAATTTTCTAAAGTCAATGCTACATATGTTTCTCGTAAATGAAATGCATACTTGCAGTATCCAATCTCATTAGTATATATTTTGTTTCAAATGAATGAAATGTCTAATTTCGTTATTCAAAGTCAATTACAAGTCTGGTTCAATTAAATGTATTGTCCACTTCAAAGTATATATGTTTCATCTGGTTCTCATAAATTAAATGTCTATTTGCAGTAGCAGTATCCTAAATCAATAGTACACCAGCTTCACAAAGATGAGAAATTTACTTGCAGTATCCAATGTCAATGGTCCATTTGGTTCACATAAATAAGATGCCTATTTGCAGCATTCAAAGTCAATTATATGTCGGGTTCACTTAAACGAATTGTTTACTTGAAGTATACAAACTCAATGGTACATATCGTTCACATAAATAAATTGTCTACTCGCAGGATCCAAAGAAATGGTTAATTTGATTCCCATAAACGGAGTGCCGATTCGCAGTATATTAAGTCTATGTTACGTCTGGTTCACGTCAATGGAATGTCTACTTGCAGCATCTAAACTCAGTGGTATCTTCGGTTCGTATTAATGGAAGTCCTAATTATTGCAGTACCTATTCTGCCTAAGTCTGCATTATTTAATTGTAAGTCTAGTTC